CCCCCCCCCGCCAGCTCACAAATACAAAGGGATTACATGTGGTTACATGAATAATGAAATTGAGATTATTTTGTTGACATGTGTCTAATTTGTTGTGCCACAGTGGTGGACTGCTGAATACTGCCTATCAATCTGCCTCTTTGTACCGCATTACTCACGTAAAACCAACGGATCAAGTTCTTTCAACAAGCCAGTCAAATAAGTTGCTTCTGGCCAAGACTGCCACCTAAGGCTAAAGCAACTCCCCAATGCAATAAGCCTAGCAACAAGCTGAGTAATGTCTACATGGCAGGACTCAATCTTGAGTACAAATTTAAAAAGCACACAAACAATCTGATTACTGACAGCCCAGTGGCCCAAACACTGTGTTCAGCTTTCCCCCACCCTCAGCATTAACAGAGAAATGCACCGTGATCTGAACGCGCACTTAGTCAGCAATTCGACGATGAATTTTAATGATGTGCTTAGGAGTGCAAACCAGCTAACGGCACGACAATTCTAACAGTGCCATTTAAAGGGAGTGGTTTTGGTAAATTATCCCTCCGTTCTTAATAATTAACAAAATCCTATTAATAATGAACAATCCGTAGCCTAACACTCATCAAGAGGCGGGATGGTTGCCTAGGAGCATTGGCCTGTTCTGAATACCTTGTCGCTTTGGTGTTGTTGGTAACTGGAGCCCCGGCAGTATGACAGTAACATGGCGGAAAGTAAATAAGGCGGCGTGGTAGGGGGACACAATACCTTTGTTTTGGGTGCTGTCAGACGGGCGCCATAAGCCTAGAGGATCAATAATGCAGTCTGGCACGTGTCCAGGAGGTTTTGCTGCCTATTGATACCACGTGGTTGAATAATCGTGCAGAAATAACACCCCGGATTGAGCTATATATCTGTAGTTTGGTGTGTAGTTCAAAACGGTCCATAGGAAAACGTGTGTAATATTTTAAAGGTGATAATCATTGTTTATGGGTGACCTATTTAAATTACACCTTAAGCAAACAGCAGGCCTCCCGAGTCCCACTGCTCAGTCAAAACAATAATTGGCTTTACACAGTTGAACCTCCATTTTCAGATGCTAAATCAACACAGCTGGACATCCTAAAGTTTGTGTTTATGTCTGTGTGCTACCTTTCCGACTTGAGTCTAAATATAGCTCGGCAGCATCCTGCTGTGATGCTGAAGGAGCAGTCATCTTTCCCCTCTGAAGGACACAACACTGTCTGAAGTTTGGGAGCAGGGTTGGAGGGGGAGGGAGGGAGGAAGCGGTGACTACTGTGTGACAAGCGCCCTGTTCCTTCCTCCCAGGCCTGAGAAACAGGAAGTGCTGCACATAAGGCATTATTGTGACGGAGAGGAAATGCAAGGTCCTCTAAAATAAGAGCCCCAATCTGGTTGTCAATGACAGGAGCCTGTCTTCCATAGCCCCACAGAGACCTGTACGTCCCCACTCATTGAACCCCTCCCCCCCCCACTTCCGTAACTTCACTGTTGAATAACACAGATATATGGAAGTTCCCAATTTGTACAGGACTTCTATGTGTAACGAATCCCTAAAAATAAAGACACACAAGGCAAATCAAATGCATTTAAGCGTGCATATGCGGTTGCGGCACAGGAAATTTACTTTTGGAATATCTGAGTGCAGCATCTCAAAGATAACATCAAGCGAATCAGCTTTGAGATGCGTTAAACCTTTTGTTCCCTGCTGAACCCACCCACATACAGATTGAGCAACAACCGCATTTCAAAGGGTTAATGGAGGCATATGGGTAGGATCCACCCTGCTTGTGTTTAGCAGAAGCTGAGGAGGAGCTGGTTGCTAAGAGAGATGCAAGGCTTTGTGCCGGGCTGCCTCCCAGTTAATTAAAATCCTACTTTATCTGTTTCATGCTTTCAATTAGAAAGCTCTGGCCCAGGCATCTGCATGTAGATAACCATAGCAATAAGATGTGATTAATACGGGGGGCCCATTTGCACTGCGGGTTGCGGCAATGCCCTGCTGTTGTGTGCATGCCTTGTTTTGATCCCAGGCACCAACCTCTGATGAGCGAGGCAAAAATGGCTGCCTCTCTGCAAAGTCTGCATGGCACCTCAAGCAGAAAGGGTAGGCTAGATGGATAAGATCTACTTTTACAGAACATGGCAGGTGTTGGCCACCTGTGATCATGCACATATGAACTGCAGCGATGACTGAAGCTGCAGAGAGTCAGTATCGCTGTTCAGCCTGTGCCAAGTCTAATGGGGTTTTTTTTTTTTTTTTGGTCATCAGTAATCAAAAGAAGTGTCAGCTAGCAATGTTCTTGCTCAATTAACGGCAGATCCATCAATGCCCGTCTCTGCTTTTCACAATCGATTAACTGCAACACAGAAGCCAAGCTGTACCGGCAATGAATCACACTAAGCTTAGCACATTATGATTTAATGGGCATGTGCAGCTGTTTTTGGTTATAGTTTGTGTTCCAGCATCCAACGATAATATTTATTGGCCCTTTGAGGCATTGAGCGCATAATCAGAACATTCTGCATGAAAAAAATAAATCAATTATATAAACTGCAATAGCAATTAATGCACTCATCTATCACACAGAGGATCTAGATGTTACTGGTAAGAGCGCAGTCAATTGCCACTCAATCAAAACCAAACTAAAAAATGATCTAGAGGCTGCAAAACATGCTAATGAAATAAAATACAAATGAAGGAAGAGACAGGCATACGTTTTATCACAAATATATTTAAGTAAACTGGCATGAAATGTCCAAAAAACTAAATGTTTTTTTCTCTTCTTTTTTCTCCCCAAGCATAAAAGACCTGGTATCAAACAAACCTTAGCACATAACAGAATATTTACTGCCATCTACTGGTCACACTAGGAAATCACAAACAATGGAACAGCAAACATTTGGAAGGCATGACCTTATATGGCTTTGTAACACTTCCTTTAATATCTGAAAGAACTGAATGACTGCCTGAGGGAAGAGAAGGGGGACTGGGATGTGGGTGTAAAATTGTCTCCTCTCAGGCCTGAACTGTCCTTTGGCAGGTCATCAGCACTGGGGCCAGGCTGGGGCGGGGTCTGGGTCTGGGGCATCACTGCCTGGGTAAGTGGGTGGCTGGAGCACGAAGGAGCCGTCTCCATCCTACCGGGAGTGCTCTCTCTGGGGATCTGAGCTTGTGTTATCTGGAGAAGAAATCCTCTTCCTGTAGAAGGTAAGGCCAGGACAGATGACTGCTCTTTCCCAAAGGGCCTTCCTCTACCCATTGTGCAAATCGGTGCCTCTGTGCGCCCTCGTCCCACACCTACAGACAGGGGACTGCTAACAGTCATTTCTGCCCTGAGGTCTGACACAATGGCTGTAACTTGAGCCAGGGCTGCTGGGTCAGGAGAGGCTTGGACATCCACAGATGAGACAATGGTGTCTCTTGGAGGGCCCGTAGGTGGCTTGTGGGGGGAAAGGTCTACTTGTGTTGAGGCAGGTGCCGGTTCTGAGGAATCTGCCTGTGTCTGGCAATGTTCCTGTGCTGCAGTTGAAGTCTGGGGTGGAGGCTGGCTTTTGGGATTGAAGCGAGCCAGCAGACCTTGCTCTGTCACAGCGTAGTGGTCGGCAGCCCACTCCTGCCGATCGTGACGCATTTGCTCCAGCTGCTTGAGCTCTCTGGGCAAGTCCAACACAGTCTCCTGAAGAACAGGCAGACTGTTTGTTTAGAATGTATTTTTACACTGATTGCTGTGGCTTTGGTCTCCCATCACGTACACTGGAATCATGGCACAGACAGGATGGACCGGAAGCACAATTACAGTGACAGAAAACAGTTTCAATGTAGAACCTAAAATTGGCATGTGAGCGTTGTTTTAGGAAGTGAATCCATCTGTTTAATGAGCTTTTTGAGCATTTTTTTCATGAAAGAAATATACCAAAAAGCTGTTTAAATTCACTTGAATAATCCTGAATAAAAGACCTCATAGGCTGCCCTAGCAGTGCGTGACGGCTGCCTCGCTGAACTTCTGCACCTCGCATGCCTGAGGTGACCACACAGACTGTTTCTGCTGCAGCCAGCCTTATCTTTCTCTTTTATAGTGAGTTTGCCTTTGATAAATACTATACAGTAAAGCATATGAATGGATTCTGTCCACAGAAACGCCAGAGAGCTTTGAATCTCAGACAGATACATTAGGTGTGTTTTTTATGTCTGTGACACGTTCTACAGATATAGACATTGAAACTGTAGTGAAACGTGTATGTTGGTGGTATAATGTCGATAGGACTATGAACTGACCTTTTTATTTATGCTGGGAACAACGCTAAATAGGCTAGATCTCTCTCTAGATACTCTCTAGTGAAAACATCAATGCAGCTGCAGCCGAGATGCACAAGAGAGACGCACAGCTCATGTGGGTAGTGTGGCTGCTCTGACTTGTTAACACTGGTGCGAAAATAAAAGTGAAAGATGTCTTTAAGCAGACCGGTACAAAAAAAAAAAAACACTCACAGGTTCAGTAAAAAAAGAAGAAGATATTTTTAATGCCAAAATCATTTATCCAAAGACAGATTGTGCCAAATTTTGCAGTCTTATGGTGATAACACCCTGGTGCATGTTGGTGTCATTGTGAGGAAATAAAGAAAAGTGCTTCTTTGTGATTTACTCACCATGTTGACATGTTCCAGTTCGTCAGGTTCGTAGTGGCTGCTGCTGAGGTATGAATCCACCACGGCCACGTAGTCTGTCATAAGAGTATCCAGCAGCACCAGCCTGAGGGGCTGAAGGTGGATCACTGACAGAGCCATCACCTTAAGCAGGGGTACAGGACAGGGCCGCTTCTGCCACATCTCCCTTTCTTCCTGTAAAAACACACAGCAATGATTACAGCACATAAACAGATGCAACTATACTGTAAACAAAACCATCTGACTGTGTACTGTACCTTGGTGAGCTGTGACTTCATCTGAAGGGATAAGAGCTGAGAGGAGGGCACCTTGAGATGGAGACTCACCACCTCCTGCAGAGTGCTGACTCTGTCGGGAAGGAAACCTCCTGTCTCCGAGTAGAAGCACATGACATCTGCCACCTGAACACACGCAGAGAGAAAAAGCAGGAAATGAATAAGGTAAACTAAACCAACAGGAGAGAAACAGGAAAGGGACAATCGGCATTATTGAGTGATGTTCTAAAGTGGGCCTCCGTATGTACTGTACATGTACCTGGGTGTCAAAGACGTTGGTTAGCTTCACTCCAAACTGAGCAATCAAACACCCAGAAACGGCTCTGCAGTCATGAATGACCTGTACCAAATGTACAATTAACACAGGTACAATGGTAATAAACTTCACTTTACAGAATGTCTCTGTTTGAACTGCTCACCTTTAGTATGTGCTTATTTTCCAGGATCATGGAAAGACCATTCTTAAAAGCCCGAGCTCCAAGCAACAGGATATCAAATAGGTATACCTTTTTTTTAGTGGCAATCTAGATGAATGGTAAAGTTATTTTATTAATTTTTTCACTTTTCTGATTCAAAAAAAAAATAAAAAGAAAGAAGAAAGGTGAAGGCCCGATTTCAGAACTTCTTACCTGCAGCCAACACAGTCTCCCATGCTTAAACACCTCAACTCCATCAGCTCCCACGCCAATCACATGCTGCTTCTTGATGTGCATCACCTGAAGGATGGGAGATCAGAATGTTAGAAAGAGTTTCAGAGAGGTCACAGTAAAGACGTTTCCATCATTACAGGCCGTCCACATCATTTGGAGTGTAAAATATATGATGAGCATTTAAAAGTCCAGTGTGGAGGATTAGTGGCATTCAGTGGTGAAGTTGCAGATTGCAACCAACTGAATACTGCTCGCCCTCCAGGCTTGTAGGACAAACTATGATGGCCAAAACTCGTTGAAAACGCAATCTAGATCCAGTGTTTAGTTTGTCTGTTCTGGGCTACTGTAGAAACATGGTGGTTCAACATGGCAGACTCCATGGAAGAGGACCGGCTCCTTCTGTAG